TGTGAAATTTTGATGGTTTATTCTCTTTGTGATTATGAGTGTTCCATGATTTTTCCATATTCGTAGAGCACCCCTAAGTTGGCAAACCCCTCATTTCCAAGGTTAAGTCACCTCTTTTGCTTAAAATAATTATATAAATTAAATTAAGCATAAAAAATAATAAGGTATGTTTTGGTAAGTTCACTGTGGTTAGAGTGACATAAGAAAAATTAAACCTAAGATTGAATGTCTTTAAATTATAACTTCTTAATTTAAGTCATTAAAGCGAGGAAAAATCAAATAAAAAAATCATAAAAATCATCCTCATTGAAGATGTTGAACATATTAAGCCTCTTTAAAAATTTCAAACCATTTTAAATTGATTTAACAACTAAAGTTTATTTTCAAGAAAAATGAGATTTTGACACTAAAATAATTATAATAATTAAAATGTACCTTAAAAAAATTTGAAAAGTTGTTTGAAGTGTTCCATGTGATCAGGGACATCCAAGAAAAATAAAATTGACATTAAAATAAAAAGTTCTTTTTTGGGCTATTTTTCAATTTAAAAATAATTTAAAAATTCAAAAAATCACAAAAATACAAGAAAAATACTCCAAATGTCTCTAGTTATTCCCTAACCACTTGGGGCCAATTAGATTATTTTTTCCTTATTTTATAAATAAATTTATGTATTTTTAAATGCCTAAAATGTATTTTCCTAATTTTTCACTAAAATAATTATAAAAAATAAAATAAATATAAAAAAATATGAAATAAATTTCTGTGAGTTCCTTGAAGTTAGGGAGAGCAATGAAAAATATGCAATTGATTTTTCAAAATAAAATGTATTTTCTACTTAAATAACCATAAAAATAAAAAAATAATTATAAAAATTAAAAAATAATTCAAAAATTCATAAAATTTGGTCCAAGTGGTCCTCTAACCTAGTTGAACCTTCAATAACTTTTCTAATGATAGAAACTTTACTTTGAATGACTAAATAAATTAACCTTGGGAATTCCTTTTTTTGGGGAAAAATATACATATAAATTAAAATAAATATTCAAAAAATATTATTTCATCTCTTATATTTCAATTAACCTATGAGGGATAGGTCAGCAAATCTCCATGCCCATATGAATTGATTTAAAAGATTTATAAAGATGGGAGCCTTAGGGGCAAAATTTTAATTTCCAACTTTCACCCTCTAATTAAAACTTAGGATGAGCTAAGGGTTTAAAGGGTAAGATTTGTTCCTATGCAATGTTCTAAGGTGATTAAAATATTAGGGTAAGAGGTAGAAACCAATTAACCTCCACTTTTAGAAAATAATGGTATAAATATAATTATTCAATTTGTTGAACATTGGAAGATGAAATTCATTTGAATAATTTAAATGTTTGGGATATAGGTTAGGAAGTCAATAATCCATTAATCTAGAATCCAAAACCAATGGTTGAGTCATAGGTTAATCTCTTAACTAAAACTTCTTAACATGACTTTCCTTAAATTGCATATTCACCCTTAGTTTCTTTTGTGCTTTGTGGTGAACTAAGTTTAATTTAAAAATACTTGAGGATTAGTTGAAAGACAAACTATAATTAACTCTCCTCAAACACTACAAGCTCAAGTTTTCTTACCCTTTTCTCATGGGTTAATTGAGACATGACACTAAGCACAACTTAAACCTAATGAACCTCGGGGTGATCTATTCAACAACATAATAAGTTGAAATGAACTCAAAATAGTCTAAAGGATTCTTATGAGTTTTTAAGGTCTATGCCCTGATTAATTTTACAATCTTTTGGATATTTTGAAGAGCAATTGAACTATTATGCATTGTTCAAGAAAATCATCCTTAAACCCTTTAAGCACCCACCAAGTTGATCTCTTTTGAACTTAAACCATTAAAGCTTCAGTGCTACTTAGTAGTTTCACTTAGCTTCATTTTGTAATATACACATGATTATGAATGCTAAAATTTCAGCGGGAGCAACGAGAAGATGATATGCATTTATAGTTTTGACAGGTATGCATTTATAGTTTATTTATTGTCATTTTATCTCTGCAATTTCTTACTACTTTAATGCATTATGCATGCTCTGTTAAAACACTTTTCAAAAACCAAAACAAAAATTTTCAAAATTAAGACAAACCTTTTCAAAATTAAACTTAAATGTTTTAAAAAACAACAAAAAACATAATACATCCTTTTGAATTTACGGAAGTCCCTAGGATGAGGTAAGCTATAATTGCTAACGAGATCTCCCCAGTTTAAATAAGTTTAACAACTTATTTAGACTAAGTAAATTCAAAAGCAAATAGTAGTAATGAAACGAGAGAACTGTGAGATCCTAACTGGTGTGGCTTTAATCAACTTTAACCCCCCCCCCTAAAAATTGAAAAACAAAAAAACTTTTCACTTAAACTATAACACCTTAAACCTTAAACATGGAGCTATCACTTTGAAAAGGAGCTTGGAGCTAACATTGTGGGTAGCACGACAAGAATGTATGGAAGAAAAATTTTTAGAGAGCAACCAGATCTACAACAACACATCTTTCCTTAGAATTTAGTAACAAAATATTAATGAAGTTATACTTTGGGTGGTCAATAAATTGAGCTTGTTAATTAGTTAATTAACAGTTAGTAAATTGTAGTTTAGGACTTTTTCAAGGAGGAGTTTGATAACCATAAAATACATGCCTATTTTACATGCATTATATCTATCAATTCATGATTACTCACACATTATTTATAATTTTTGTTACACTAGTGATTCAAATTCAAACATTGTGAGCACCAAAGAATTTAAAAATGGAAAAATAGATCAATTTTTTTGTTCAATGGATTCGGTGGTTTGGGAGTGAATTTGCCATGAAGGACAGCAGAAAGGTACTCAAGAACTTGAAGGAAAACTAGGCACCCAACCTAGATGCCTAGGTGATATATAAGAAGGAATCAAATAAAGAGCAAGTATTCATGCACTAGAAGTAGTGTCTAAGCTGCTGACAACCCTAAATTTTTTCAAAGTGCTTGACACCCAAATAGAGAGCACAACACAAAAGTGCTAGTTTGAGGTGCCTACTTGCCAATTTTCAAACCCAAAAAAAGAGAGCTTGACACCAGGTTGCCCAGTTCAACAACATTAAATAAAGAGCTAGGAGTCTTGATGCTTGGCATAAGCTTCTACATTAAGGTACTGCATTACTGAAAACTCTAAATTCCATCAAATTTATTATCTTTTTCTAAGACATTTAATCCAACCATATTTAAGAAATTATTTCTAACAAACTAAGAAAATTTTGGCAAGCCCTAAGGAAACTATTACAACAGATTTCCTGGGATTTTCTCGATAAAGAAGTTTTGGGGTAGCCATTGGTTGACTTTAACAGGAGAGATATGTAAGGAGAAGGATTGTATAGAATAAGCCAAGTGTTTTTTTGTTGAGTTTTTTTATTTCATTCTCTTTGTACTAAGTGTTGTAAACATGTTTAAAAGATTTTTATTTATATTATTTTTCTCTTAGACAAACTAATTTTCATTTATATGTTTGATATTTACTAACAGATGTCAATAATATATATTTAATGTTTTGTTTTTTTAGGTTTTTAATTTTTTACTTATTTGATAATGAATCATCAATTATGTTTATGTCTAGCATAAGAGGCATCTGTAAAATCGAGAGCTCGAGGAAGACTCATCGTGAGCCAAACTACCCTGATGAATGGACATTGGGTTAGAGATAACTATGAAAAGTTTGTGTGATTATTTTTGAGATCCTAAGAGCTTCAACAACATTTCTTATGTTACCTATATTATTGACAGCTAGGCATGATGTGCAAGAGAAGGAAGAAACTCTAGGAATACAATAGTAAAGTAGCAACCAATTTTGAATAGTTCACAATACCAGTAAATCAGACGTATTATTTGTCTTGATTATCATGTAGTCTACCCATAATATGTAAAAATTAATACTTAGAGCTCTCTTGCCCTAATCTTGCTTCATGTGAACGCTTATTTTAGTTATTGTAGCCTTTTCTTAGCTTTAGGTTTGATTATTGCATCACTTTGATCCGACTATTTAGATAATAATTCACTAATTAAATTTTATTGCTTGTCAAGTTAGTTCATGTTGGATAATACTTTTATTCTTCACTTCATTACTTTGGTGACTACATGTTCTTGTGTGTGATAACTCACGTCAAATGCCAATATCTATAAGGTGGACACAAATCATTAATGTGCATCATCACCTCTATAGTTGTTACACACCACTATTATATGTAGATTTTGAGTAACTAGATCAATGCCAACTCCCAATAACATTTTTGCCAGCATTTTTTATTCACGTAATTACTGAGATTCAAAGCCCCTATCCACTCCACGATAATATTGGACATCTTGGTCTTTTAATATCACTCTTTGAAGAAGAACAACCAAACACATTGCAAGTTTCTCTTGAAGAGAACTTGAATACCTATGTTGTCCTTTGACTTCCACAATGTGATCAATTCTATATGATTCATAGAAACTACATTGAACAACTGCCTCCCCTAAATAAAAGTAATATGATTATTTATCATCTATAATACATGAGCGAAATCATTTCAAATGGCACCTCCCATGAATTTGCTTCTCTCCTTTTGTAATTTTTCTTTTGAGTAAATATGTGCTAAATTTTCTTATAAAACTAAAATATTAGTCTCTCTACCGTTTCAAGTTTCACTCCATCAAATAACAATGAATAAATAAAATAAAAAATTATATCATAAAAATTTATCATATCATTTAGAAAATGATAACTTCCTAATAATGTTAAATATAAGATGGGGGGGTTACTATAGTATGTAATAATTAGAAACCATTTAGATCTTAGTGTGTAGTTAAAAAATATAATCCAAGTTTCATAATTCAACAAAAGAGTGATAATTGATCCACACATTTTTAATAAGGGGAATAAAAGAACCATCCCAATCTTACATGATAGCCAACTATATATTTTAATTGCAACCTATTTCAACTTTTTCCAATATATTACCCAACCACTTGGCCCCATTTACTCAAATCATAAAAATATTTATATTAACTGAATAAAGGGCAGATTGTTTATGGTAACTCCCCCCATTAAATTTAAATTTGTAGTTTGCATGTACACTCCGTTGCTGAATTCTCTGTTGCTTTTCTGGCAACAACTGCTTCCCCTGCCCACTCCCCCTTTTCCCGTTCACTGAACAAGCCTATACCTAGAAAGCCTCTCGTCTGCCTCGCCTCATCAGATTCCATTCGAGGAAGAACGGAGAATGTCCAAGGTCTGGACGGGAGTCGGCGCGTGGGCACTTGAAGCGGAGCGCGCCGAGGCCGAGGAGCGCGAGCGTGCAGAAGTAGCAACATCGGCCTCGGTGTTCTCTTCCGGCCATCCCACTCTCCACGATGGCGAGCCATCCCATAGCTTCCCTAGTCTCAAGGAGGCTGCCACTAAGCCCAAGAAGAAGAAAGGTGTCACGCTTACTCTTTCGGTGTTCACCACCGGAACATTCGTCGGTCCCGGCGGTGCTCGCAGAGAACCAGTTTTCGAACCGAAGGGCCTTACTCCCGATGAGATGCTCTGCCTTCCCACTCGTCCCCGTGAGCGCTCCGCCGGGGAGCTTGAGAGCACTCGCCTTGGTGACAGCTTCCGCAACTACGGTTATGGAAGTGGAGCAGCCGCTCCTCCTCGCCGGCGACCCGATTTCGGGGACCCGATTTCGGTAAGGACGATGAATCGAGGAGGGGTCCCCTCAGACCCTCTGATTTCGATCTGCCATCGAGGGCCGACGAGGTTGATAACTGGGCTTCGTCCAAGAAATTTGCTCCGACTGTGGATTCTGTTCGGCAAGAGCGCTACGGCTTTTTTAGGAGCGGGGACTCCTCGAAGGCGGATGAGATTGATAACTGGTCTTTTGGAAAGAAATCGGCTCCTCCTCCTCCTCCTCATAACAGGTACTCTGGCTTGGGATCTGGATTCAGAGATACTCTCATGTCCGGTCCGGATTCTGATCGATGGTTTAGAGAAAGCAGGGGATCTCTTTCGAGCAATGGGGCGCGAGGAAGGCCGAGACTCGTCCTTGATCCTCCGAAGAAGAATTCTGTATCAATGCCTGAACCAACTCCTTCAAGACCGAGTCCGTTTGGTGCTGCTAGGCCGAGGGAAGAGGTTTTGTCTGAGAGGGGTTTGGATTGGAGAAAAATTGAGACAGAGATTGAGATGAAGAAATTTGTGAGGACTGCAAGCTCTCAGTCCAGCAGACCATCCAGTGTGCATTCAAGTGGAGCTGCGAGCCCGGTTTCACAGGTGTCCGTGGAAGGTGTAGCTCCAAAGCCTCGGCCTAGGGTGAACCCCTTTGGTGATGCAAAGCCTCGGGAGCTTATTTTGGAAGAGAAGGGCATGGATTGGAGGAAGATTGACATGGAGCTTGAGCATCGCGGGATTGAAAGGTCTACATTTTTTTATTGTTTATCAATCACATCTAATCATTTTAGCACCGCTGTTGTTTTCTGAATATTTGGCTCTAATTTTCCTAATTGCTCATACTTTTTCTCATCCATTTGCGGTCCTATAGCATATTTAAATTTTATTCTTCTTGGGAAGGTGCTTCTTGCATTTTGCGTGGTCTTCTTTTGGGTTTTTTTATTTTGGCCCAATAGGAATTTGGCTTTATATCATTATATGTTGCGAACGGACCCGTGCTTTGGCTTTCTAGGTTACTATATGCGTGTTGTTTTTCTTGGAACTATGCGTGTGTTTCGTCTTTTTCATTATGGAGCTATTATTTTAGCTTTAATATTGCTGGAAATTTAAATAGGTATTTAGCTCTGTTTGTTTGAATCAAAGAAAACAAGTTATTAATGAGTAAAACCTTGCTTGTGTCAAACTTCAATTTCGTTACCTTGGATCTGATCGGATCAAGCTAGCCTGACTTTATGTCAAAATTTATATGCATGCATGCATGAAGGCTTATGAATATAAATTTGAATATAAGCACAAAGTATGCATGTATGTCAGTGAGTGAGCGAAAAGTATGTATGTATATATTTTCATACACCTAAGATATTATTACTATTTTTAATTCTTTTAGACAACAAATATAGCTTTTGTGTCTGCTATCCATACCTAATAATTTATTGTCTTTACATATAATGATGTTTTAAAAGCATTATTTATACATTCCATGTTATGCCAGAATGGCTTTAATATGGAACATTTCCTGTTGATCCTCCTTGGAATAAAACTTTTTTATTTGTGCTCCATTATGCTCTTTTGTATTTGTTGTATGTTACTAACCTTGATGAATGTAAGGTAGCTTTTATTCTAGGGCACACTCTTTTATCAATTTGAGTTTATATTAGAAATAGGATGTGAGCTATGAGAGTGTTCATGATGGGCATAGAATATAGAAATGTTATGGGAGAAGCTATATTTTTTTTTCATTGTAGAAATAATTTGGTAATTGTAAAATTTTTGCTGATGAAATGAGAAGAATATTTATTTACTTACTTTGTTTTTTTTTCCCAAAAGAGAGTGAAAATCTATTTCTTTCATAAAATTTATGATAGTTACAAAATAAAAAATTTGACTAGCATTTGGAAGATTTGATTGAAGTTAGACGGACGTCTAGAAATATATTGTACATAAGAAGTGGTGTGGGTGACAATGTAAAAAAAAAACATTAAGGATAATGTATTTTTAAGAAATGCTTAAACAAGATTTTTCCTTGAGGCATGCAATACCGAAATGAGGATTAGAAAGCAACTTTATCAATGTGTGAGGTTGTGGGAATGTCAGCAAATTTTGAAAAGTTATTTTATCCTGACCTATACAGCCACTAGCTCACACTTCAATGTTTCTTGCTAGAGCAAGGATGAACAATATACTGCAAGTAGGGTGATTAAGCAGCTATGAGAAGAAATAGGGAATAGACAAGAAGCCATTGATTCAATGCAAAGCAGTACTGTTTATACCCTATATTTTTCATTTATGGAAGCATATCATATCTACTTTACCTTTTCTCTTCTTCCATGCTACCAAGATATGGTTAAAACATAGATCCAGAAATTGTGATTGTGGTGGGTTTGGGTGTATTTTTTCTGAGCCTTCAAGTTTATTCCCAATAGAATGGATGATTTGAAAAAGGGCATGAAATAACTCAAATTTAAAGAACTTGCAATATTTGAATCCATAATACCTCTTTATACTCTTACTCTTTGCTTCTTTTAATATCAATAGCTGAGTTAATTTTTTTGGCCCAACTTTCTTTGCATTTTCGTCTATTATATTTGATAATCGCCTTATGTTTTTTTATATTCCCCTGCATTTTTTTAGCAAAGTGCTTCTGACGTATTTATGTAGGGACGATAGGAAAAATTAAATTATTCATCTTACTCTAATTAAAGGAGACTTGAATATACAATATGAATTTTTAACTCAAGAGATGAATCAGCTTTACCTAGCTTTTAAACTTTTATATTTACAAGAATGAGGAAATCCTTGCATGCTCTATAAAGAAGCTAGAAGCTTTACAAGAGGGGTTATATAGAAAGTTATAGCTATAGGCATTGATAATTGTTATGTTCGATTAGGTAGAAGGATGGAGAGTATGCAAGAGAAAAGGTTGTAGACATATTGACTAGGTTATGTGTATTAATTCTATGGATAATATGATCTTAGATAAAGTCATGAAAGAAAGATGGACATATTATGATTTGAATAATGATTAAAGAAGAATTTTAATGGAAAAGCATATTTAGCAGGGTAATGTTGTATATTATAGATTAAAAAATGCACAGTTTAATTAGCTTTGCAGAAGATTCTAAGAAAAAAATTTAGGTTTAGATAAGATAAATGCTGAGATTTGAAGAATATTGTGATATATTGGAATATAAAAATGTGATTTCATTTATTGAAATTATAAAGTCTATTAGAATGCCAAATTATTGAATTATTTTGGTACAAGTCCTTTAAAAAAAGATATTTATATATTAGGTGATCAAATTGATGTACTATTTTATGAACTGGTAGGAGAGACTTTTAATTATGGGTTTTAAAAATAACATCAAAATAAGGTAGTTTGGTTTATTTTATGTTAGAAAGATCCAATACGGTGAATATTTTTGTGACATAGAATGACCAAATAACTTGTGCAAATTGGAGATTAGCATGTAGTAAAATGAATCAAAAGAAGTTTTAATTAGTTGGCGTGAAATAGTAGGGATAAGGCTAATGAACATTGTTGGAGTTAGGGAAGGGATGGGGATAGTTCTTGTCCATCATAGATTGAACTATAAAGCTCTATATAATTATGTATAATATGAAAGTTTGCCCTCAAATTTTCCAACAACTGTTTATATTATAGACATGATAGGTCCTCTTACCTTTTCTCACTTGAAATCCTAGTTTCGCTACTGCTAATGATGAATGATGATGATAGCAATTTAGTTTGTCATTGTTTTTAATCTCAGTTGTTTGGTGGAAATAGGAGCTTGATCATCTTGGTTAAAATTACAACTTTTAAGAAGGGATTGATATTATATATTCTTTTGTTAGGTATATTTTTTATCATAGCAAGGTTTTATTTTTTCTTCAAATTTCAAAGCACAAATCAAAGAGATTATTTTATTAACTACATAGCACATAATTCATATAAAAATATAAACATATTGTACATTTATTAATAATTATATAATAATGAGTATTTATTAGATGACTTAGAGCTTGATATAAAATTGAAATAAATGTTGTTTATTTAGTCAATTTAAAGTCAAACTTTGATGGTGAGCTTGCAAATTGAATATTCTAATAATCTCTAGCAGTTTGATGTGATAATTAAAAGCTTGAAATTGTTAAAGAACTCTTATAGTACTAACAAAGGCTAAATTTTAAAGCAAAAAATAAATAAATAATGTCCCAATTTTTTTTAAAACAAGCTAAAAGAATTAAGTGGCCATCATTTTCTTTTTATTCACATCATCTATTACTTTTTCAAGTAGAAATTTTTTTTCATCTTTAATTTCTTTGCATTCTTTATTGTCATTATCTTGTGAATCAATTTCAACTCACTTTTTAGCATATGAGTGGATTTTTGTTGAGATAATTCGCTCTCATTGTGGATGAACCCCCTTTTTTATTTTGACTTACTAAATCTTACAGATCACTTTTTATCAACTTCTTTCGAACCATTTTCAATATATCTCTATGAGATTTTCATCACCAAATTGTTGTTTAATAGCATACTGCTTCAATTAACCACTCATAACTTTCATCGATGGGTTCCAAGTTAACTGGATCGATAGTATCACTCAAATTAATATTCTCTTTAATGCTTGATTGTATTTGATAAAAGCTAAATAGTTTAACTTCTTATGTAACTAGGTTTTCTTTTTCTTACGGATCTATAAAAAAAATCAAAATAAATGCATTAAATATATGAGTTATTTAATATGTTTAAAATTTATAAATCATTAATTTTCTCGAAGTCATAGTTTTTTCTCACACTCAACATCACCGCAAATGTACCTTAAGATCCCGGCGATTAATTTTTACGAAGTTGGGGCTTATGCACCACATATCTCCCACCAATCTGTTGTATCATAATTATAGTATCATGTTAAAGAATAAATTTAACTAATTAGATACTCAAAATTATATAAGAATTTTAGTTAATCGCACCAGAAGATTTCTTATCTCTATTATGGATGGTGTATTTAGTTACAATTGACCACTAGCATGATTATAAATAAAACGTTCTTAATCCATTACCAAATGTGCATTTTTTATTGTATCTTAAACTTGTTATAACAACTACAACAACAACAATAACAAGCCTTTATCCCACTTAAGTGGGTTTGGCCACATGATTCCTTTTTCTCCATTGCATCCTAATGGGTGTCATATTTTCATTTAATTTTAATATATTAAGATCATTTTTTACACAATATGCCCAAGCCTTTAGGTCTACCTCTGTCTTCCTTAACATAAGTTGAAAGAATAACTTATTCTTGTAAAAAAAAATGGATTAAGATAATATCCAATTTGATCTATCTATTGTCGATGATATAAAAATTTGCTCCACTTCTTTTTATCTTCTTCAAATGCAATGTTGATGGCGTCCTCGATGGTCTTACAAATTTCACACCAGTAGTATATTTTTTCATCATGTTAAGAATAAATTTATGATTGTATTGATAGCTAGTTAACCTTAAAGTTTTCTTTATAGTACTTTTCACTTAAATTAACTTTCTAATATCCACTAACATCAAATCAAATTAATGGGTTGCACATAATGTTCAATACATAGTTTTATTGCTTTCATATGTGTTTGACTTACACAAACATAAAGTTTGTTGACTTTCTTTAATTCAAACAAAAAGGAATTGTATATACATTAAATAGGAAATATTATAAATTATTGACTTAGAAGAAAATAGCTTTTGTGATTATATGTAATCACTTGAAGCACATTCTTTTGTTTAATATTTTTTATTTGTGCATCTAGGAGTTCAAAGCTTCCCCACAATTTATGAATATTTTGATTCATCTATTGATTCTAAAAATGGAGCGTCTGATGGTGAACTAACCAAAGAATTAATCATAAACCGCTCTCCATTCTCCAGACATAAGAGTGTGTCTGTTCTCTTGTCAATTTTTTTATAATTTTTCACATCTCCATAATTTTCTGTAATTCTTTTTTATATTGAGTAAATCTCCTCTTATCGGCAGTAGTTGCCACAGATTCATTGCCTACAAGGAAGTGCCTCTACCATTGATTCATGTACAGAAACACAAAAGAAAGAGCCCTTGAATCGCCTTTGTAGCATCAATCAACAATTTATAAATATATCAAACGACAAGCGAATTAGGGGATTTTTTTTGTTTGTTATTGTAATTGTTTATTATTTTTATATATAATTTTGTGTATAAATATCTATTGAAAGGATGAGCAATCTAAATTTTTCTAGCCACTTCTTTTCTATATAATATCAGAGTAAGATTATGATTTTATTTTTCATCTTTTGCTCTTATCTTTCGATTTTATCTTCATTATGTTTGATTTTGTTATTTTCTTTCAAAAAGACCATTATAAATGGTGAAAATTATATGGAAAAAGGAGCTCAATGAGCTGCTTGCCTCGTATCAATTGAATGGTAGAAACCACATGAAGTGGTCTCAATTTGTGAAAACTTTACTCAAGGAAAGAAAATTTTCTTCTTATGGATTCTCTTATAGAGTCGAAAGACTCAAATTTGCACTTTGGGACGAAACAAATTTCATGATTATGACATGATTATGAAACACTATGATTACTGAAATTATTGGGCTATATATATTCATATTTGTGCGAGATGTTTACAATTCAGTCAAACAACCGTACTTAGAAGTCATAAATTACACTTTCATTTTTGAACTCTAAAGTAAAATCTAAATAACCAAACAAAGGAATTTTTTGCCATTGAAAGTTTTAATACAATAATGGCTTTTTAGCTAGAACTAGATTATTATTAAAATTTCAAGATGAAGTGTTGCAAGAAAGCCATGGTTCTAAAAAGAAAGGGTTTTTGAGTTTCTTGTAGAACTTAGTAATGATTTTGATCAAATTCCTGTTAGAATTTTAATCTGAGAGAATTTACCACCTTTAAATGAATTCTTCTCACTCAGAAGAGTTTAAGAAGAAAGGTTTATGGTATTTGTGGATAACGTTATTCTTAAACATCTGCTATGATGACCATTATATTCACTGATTTTTCCATGAAAGGGCAAAAAGCTCTTTCAAGGCCATCTATAATCCAATTATTGCAAGAAAAAGGGACACTAAAGAAATATTTAACACTCCAATATTATGGTGAAAACAAAGAAAATCACTCAAATGATAAACTTCACTTCTGTGTAATTTCTACAAAATAAACTCTCTCGAAGGGGACATTTGTAGATTTCTGAGGGAGGGAAAACAATGATTGAGAGGAAAAGTAAAAGAAATTTATGAGTGGGTTTATTTTCTGCAAAATGGAAATACTGTTGAACTAGGGATTTTTTGAGCTGAAATTATAGAAGGGTATGAAGTTATCCATTTCAGGAACTTTCATAGTGGGTTATTGATTACGTTGGGTGGCCTTTAGATGAGATAAATGACTAGAAATGGCTATGCTTCTTTAGTTTTATATCTAAAGACGCGATCTTGAATTTTATGGTGTAAAGATGAGGGGTTTAGTGGAAGGAATGCTAATACTAGTTTAGTTTAGGCTGGTTTTAGCTTATTTAGAAGATCAATTTAGGAATGGGTTTTAAGTTGGGTTAATGGATGGAAATGAATGGATGTAGTATGTTTTAAAATTGTGCAATATAAAAGCCTATCTTAATGCTTTTTATTTTTAATCCACAATGAGTTTTGCGCTTCATATAATGAGACGTCTATCTCACCTCAATTCTGATGAGGTGCACATAGAAACAAATATTCCGTGCTTTTTCAGATAATACTAAACTGAAGATGTAATTGAAGTTGTTACTATTAGTTATTGTTTTAAAAATAAATATTCTTTAAGATTAATATTGGTTAAATAAAAGGAAGGTGATTGAGATTTATGAAGAGAAGAAATAAGAGAACATAAATGCAATGGTGGATAAGGGAATGGAGAAAGTAAATTGTTGTATTGATGATTGTAATCAAGGCTTATTAAGTGATAAAAATGATGGTTACTTTTGAATTTAGAAATATTATTTTAGAATTGTGATAGAGAAGAATTGCATCGAACTTATTTTAAATTATTTTGTTATTATGTCTAACTTTGATATTTGTATAACGTTTTCTTTATAATATGACGTCTAAATTATAACATGTTACTTCTTACTTTGAACTTAATAAAATACTGCTTCGCATTATTTATTTATTCTGAGTCTTACACTTAAAACATCTTGAGGCTCAACCTTGCCACATGGATAAAAAAATGTCTCAAAACTCAACTGCATAATTTTTAAATGTTGGTGGATTGTTAACTTAAGATGTAAACTTGCTGAGTTAGAGGGTTTAATACAATGTGGAGTTTAAGGAATATCGAGTTGTACGGAGTAAGATTATTTGGCATTGCCACTTGAATTGGCTGAGAGCTATAGGAAGAGGTATGGAGTGGCTATATGGTGTAGGATGATGTTGGTCATAGAGGATGCTTAGGATGCAGATGATAATATAAGGAAGGTTTAGAAGATTTGTTTATTGAGAAGTAATAAACCTAAGATTGGAAAGGTTAATTAACCTTATTTTTAACCCCAAAAAAAACAAAAAAAAAACAAACTCTTGAAGCCACCATAAGCTAAGCAAGGAGAATTTTGATTCTTTGCTAATTTCTGATTCAAAACTAAAAGATATAATACATATTAGCCCATATTTATAGGCATTATAAGGGACTTGGAATACCCTCATGTCAAACAAGGGGGAAATTTTGGAGAGAAGGTTTTTTTGACCATTAAACACCTGAAGTGGTTTGAAATGCTATGAATAGGACTCATCATGTAAAATATATTAAGGCTTAGCCAAAATATTGTTCGAAGATAGAAAATTAAAATGCAAATAAATAAATAAATTTTACTTTGAAATAAATCTAGATTTGGGCTTGGTCATTTGTTTTTATTGTTGGATTTTTGTTATTTTGAGCATTTGCTCCTGCTGATGTAATTGATTTAGTGGATTAATTTTATTCAATCATTTGATATGGTACATTAATTATTTTTCAGGCCTCAATTTAACTATCTTTATTTATTGGCTCATGTCATCTTCTCTTTGATTTGTTTAGAAAGATTCAATTTTTCTCTTTTTTTTGTTAGGAGTGTTCTTACTAGGGTTTTGGAAAGGCCTAGTGAGTATATAATTTTTTGCAACATTTGTGGCTTCTTGCTTAGCTGCTCGGATACTCATTCCTCTTTTGTGGATGACAAATATTTGCCAGACTGTAAATCTTTGTAACTTGCAGTTCCTAATTCCCTTATTCTCTTTTTAGTTTATTGTATTCCCTATTCATAACCCTTCCGCATAATAGTTAGGCATTCTTCTAACAACAAATTGCTGAGGCATCCTTCTCTATGTTTAAAATTTGAAATTTTTTTGTATTTCCGATACTTAGTATTGTTTGATGTATTATCTCATTCACAACATAGCTTTTTTTTTCCTGTTATTTATACTCCTCTTTTGAGTCTGATTTGTTTACTTGAATTCCTTCTTGGCATTGCCAACTTATGCCTCAGTCCATTTCTGTGCGTTTCAGGCCTGAAACAGATGAAGAAAAGGTTCTTAAGGAAGAGATTGATCTTTTAAAGAAGGAACTTGCTAAGAGAAAAGTTGATCTTGACTCTGCACTAAGTTCTACTGAAGAAATAAACACTTTGTGCGGGCAGATAAGCCAAAGGGAGAAGGAGCTCTACTGCCTGATTAGCGAGTTGGATGACAAAGTTCGATTTGGTCAAAGGGGTGCCATTGATTTCAGGCCTGGTTCTGGATCAGGTAGGATCCCTTTCTCTGCAGATAGGTCACCTTCTCAGTCTGGTATTTCAGATGATTCAAGGAACATGGAGTTATTGGACAGACCTCGATCACGTGGGAGGGTTGATTTCTGGAGCAGGCAGATGGACGGGCAACGAGGATTTCAACGATTCAGGGATTCCAATTTTCTTTCCAGTGGATATACTAACAGGTATGCATGTATAATTTTGCCTTCTATTTGTTTTTAACTGCTTTAGCAAAACTATCCCACCATTTCTCATTCGTCTGCTTGTCAGAACGCAATTACTTAGAATTCAATTAGTCAACTAATGTTTGTATGACTATTTCAGCATTCCATTTCTATTTTGCTGCAATTTTTCCCTGTTGGAAAACAAGTAGATCACATTTATGTAAATCTAATTGGACTTGTTTTATTCCCTCTGAAAGTAGATACAATTTTGAACGTAACTATAAAAAAGGGTAATTATATATACATATTCAGTTCTTGACGTTGCTCATCTTTTTGTCAGGTCAATATCTCGGGGAGGATGGTGAAAGAACTAAGGTCGAAATATTTCTTTCTTCTAATACCCAAAAATATCATATCATTTTAAATTTTTTTTTTTTAGTTTTTGTTCTTCCATTTTGAGCTGGAACAGTCAGTAGATGCCATTGCTAGCAAAATTTGATTTTTCTTTTCCTTTTTTTTTAATCTCGTAATTAATTGCGGCCTTGATGTGGTGTATGATTTGAAATTTTCCATTTCAAGGCAATGCATGGGCTGTCCAACTGACCGGTCTAAATGTACTATAAAAGATATATACGGTCTTTCTTCGTAATCATCTTGTTGCAATCTAATCGCTCATCCTATAGCAAATGAACTTTTTTGATTCGATAATATGAATCAATTCCTGCATTTGTCTCTCTTTTATTGTTCGGCACAAATCTTTAAAATCGCCGACTCCCGATCCAACTTGTGTTCAGATAAAAAATAAATTAAGCTGAACTTGGATAGGATTTAGCCAGTTACTGATCGGATTGAAATGTTGTGTATATGTTTGTTGGGTAGGATAGCTCAAGTTGTAATTTGAGACTGTTTTTATTTTTTATTTGAAATTAAAATTGAAATCTAGTGTTGAATAGTTTGAGCTATCATGTAAACCAGATTTGCCTCAGCTCGAAATAAAATTGAATGCCATCAAAGTTGGTTATGAGCTGGGGTTGAATTATATGAACCCATAGAAGATCACTGTTTACTCGTGTACAAGTTTGGTGGCATTAATTGCATTGAAATGAGTTGCTGCTGGTTTTTTTTTGTGGTTAGTTTGGTTTGTTTCCATCTATTTTAGCTAGTTTGGTCCTACTCATAATTTTATTTGATTTGCTTGATTTTCTAAAGTAGCATCTTTTGATTTATCTGAATCAAATGCTGGCTCCTAGAAGCGATGAGTACTTTTTTTATTTGTGCTTAGGTGGTCTAGTGGCTTGAACCTTAGAGAGAAAATATGGAATGAATATATCCGCGAAAGGGTTGGTGTAGTTCCAATGGTAGATAAGATTAGAGAGACTCGTCTTAGATGATTTGTTCGCATTAAACGCTGGTCACTTGATCCGGTTAGGATGCTTTAGATTTGATGTTAAGAATGGTAGAGGTAAATATAAAAAGATGGGTATATTTTAGAAAAAAATATTCTTAATTTATTAAAATTAAATTAAAATATGAAACTCAATATAACTCATTGGAGAAAAAAAATGATTCATGTGGCAGACCACACTTAATTGGACGATGGCTTGTTGCTGCTGTTGTTGTATTGAAAGAATTTAATTTGTATATTTAATTTGAGGTATTCATTCTATAAAATCAGACAAAATGTTTAATAAGACGTTTTTCACATTGAGTTTTAATATGATGTACATTTGAGATTGTATTATTACCAACGGAATTTCGTAAACCTTATCCAAACACCGCATATTATTTTCTAATCTGTCCAAGCCGCTCGTCAAGGGTTGACATTACATACTGCACAAGACACATTTCTCAGCAGAACGTATGGTATATGTAAGGTATGCGTCAATGTACCCTTTCAAGAAACAAGATCTTGTTATTATTTCTTTAATAGCACTTGTTAATTATATAAATCTACGTTAATAATATCTTTGTGTGTATGTTCAAGGAGAAAATATTGCATCAGGACTCTGCACATAGAGTTACATGCAGAGTCCAATGAAATCATACCATGTGGTGGTGACAGAAAAAAAAAATGTCCGGTTAACACAAGGGAATATTCAAACTCTACACATAGAGTTACATGCAGAGTCCAATGAAATGATACCATGTGGTGGTGACAGAAAAAAAAAAATGTCCGGTTAACACAAGGGAATATTCCTCCCGTGTTATTCATTTGTTATTCAAGTGTTGTGTTATTCAAGTATTTTTGATGTGTTAATGTGTTATTATAACATCAGAAATATTCTCAAAACACAATAACACCTGAATGACATACAATAACACTTGAATAACACGAGGGGAATAGCAACACCTGAATGACATACAATAACACTTGAATAACGCGAGGGGAATATTCCTCTGTTACCAGACCGATTTATTTTTTTTTTTTCTGTCATCTTCACGTGGCTTAATTTTATTAGGCGGACGTGCGGAGTCCTGATGCAATATTTTTTTCATGTTCAAGTGCATGTATGTATTTAATAAGGTTTTTTTTTTTTTTTGAGTTATTATCATTTTTTCTAATAAAGTGGTACACTGATAAACTCAATATATATTTTAATTTGAACTTTATTATTTATTATTATTATTATGTTTTTTGTATATGTTATGATTTAGATGAAAATTTGTTTGGTTATTATAGTTGTTTTCAAAAATAATTATAAAGAGGGTTTGATTTTAAAATTAAAAAATATAAATATATTAAAATTATATTAAACAAACAAGTTTTTAAAAATTAAAGTAGATGAAAATAAAAATATAAAATAAAAGTGATGTTAAATGGGTCTTAAATAGATCCAACACATGTTACCTGTATCATAATGTGTAGTCTTAACTTTTTTTTTTTGGATTATTTGGTTGATATATATATAATATATTTTTCATTTAGTTAAATCATCATGTGTGTATGATTTTTAAAATAGATGAGCATTTGCCGTTTATGAAATTTTTAATAAACAATAATATTTATTATCAAATTGACCTGATTATCAGGCTACAACTGTAGTTACAAGAAGCCAACTTATACTTTCATTAAAAATAAATTATATATGTTCAAAGTAATTGGCATTTACCCGCCTTGTTTCTTTTAAACATTGTAAGGTATTTTAGTCTTTGGTAATCAAATTATGTGCTTTAAGAAAAA